GATTTGGAGAGCAGATTCGAGATCAGCGTCCAAAAACACATCTAGTGGTGTAGGTCTCGTTACAAATGGCCACTTCGACTTGGTATCCTTCCCTTGTTAGAAGAAATATGGGTTGAGTCACCTCACCAAACGCAATGTCTTGTTGTAGTCGTCACATGCATCCAACGGCGCCTTTTTGCAGAGAGATCTTCTGATTTTCCCCCACTATTTATCGCTCCTTTTTTATCCTTGGAAAGGTTAACCTCATTTTTTGAAGTTCTTTTTGCAGTCATGACTCGTCCAATACATCGCCGACCGAAAGTCGAATCGATGTAGTCAATCCATCGGATGTAACAAGCACACCGAAGCCATTCCGATGTGTGACGCGGTCGGCGAAAGCGAAGCGAATCCGTTTTTATCGGAATGGCGACCAATACTACAAGGTGAGTCGATGTGTTGAAATTTGTGTTGCAATTTTGATTGTTCTCTGTGGTTTTAAAATTCCTTCCTGTTTTCGTGATTCAACATTTCACACGTTGAATTAGCGCCGAAATATTCGTCTTAGCGCAATTTCATATTATTCATGTGGACATTATGATGAAGCGAAAAAGTGATGGGAAAATCGTTCTGAGGAATGCGTCATATCTTTGGATTGCGAAATATGTTACAATACAAAAGCGGAGATGTATACATATTAGGCCATGCGAAAAAAAGACCGACTCACAGGACTGTATGTAATTTTTCCCTGCATGGGAATAGGGGAGAATGAATCTTCGTGAATTTATTCCAGCACGCTCACATACCTTCAAGAGGCACCCTTTCCGAGTAGCGATCCAAAATGTGAAAGCAATTGAAATGGATTTTCTTTTGCCCTTCTTGTGCGTGACACTTCCAGTGTTCCAGATATGAGCGAGAACTGGGGGCATCCCAACATCGAACTTACAATTGAGGTCGTTCAGCTCTTTCGAAATGGTTTCTTGCATGACACTGGGGCGCGTATGGGGACCACAGAAGCATGGTTCATTTTTCCTGAACGGCTCTCTGA